ATGAAACGGATATTTGTAACGCGGGCTCATTAGCATAACTAAAACTTGAACCAATTACCTCGTCGGCAAGGAGACACAAGTGTTGAGATCAAACTTTTGATCTATCATAGATCTATTGAGTAACAACAACGGTACTACCACGGTAACAGAAGATCGTTTTGTTTTCTTTCATCTAATGTATGCGATGCACAATATGGTTATCTCAAAATGTCCCAACCATAAAGTTATTTAACAATTATAATATGCTATTCATCCCTTTCTGTTTTTTCACGTGTCCCGCTCACGTAATTCAAATTGTTTCAAAGTTATTTTTTGCTGATTGTCAATATGAACTGGTTGGTGGTTGAGTGGAAGTTTAAACTTGAGAACATTTATTTCAAGCTGTTCTTCGAAAGTTTGTTTGAATAAGAACAATCAACTGCGGTTCGATGAGGGACCTTAAGTTACTTTACGTAACTCTTCTTCAGAGGTTAAAAATTAAATAGTTAAGAAAGTTATTTTAGTATAGACTTTTTTAAATTCAAATGAATAGTTGTACGCCTTGTCTAGCACGCCAACGCATCTTACCCCTCCCGTAGATGGACGATCTATTTTGAAATTATATTTTTACATTCCTCAATTCGGATGAAAGAATTGCAAACATTTCTCAAAACTGTTCTCGTTTACGCCTACTCAGTTTGTTCTACCGGCTTCTTCAATTGAATTCTCAGGAAAAAATCCAAGTTTGATGACGGTTTATTTTCTTCCGGTTTCTTCACTGGCAGTATGTGTCCCTCTGAATGACGAAGCGAAACAGTGAGACGAAAGAGAATAAACCGAGTTCTGGAACAAGGCATGAAAGTGAGTGAGAGATAAGGGAGAAAAAAATTTTTTTTCGTATATTTGCTTCATCTTTATGTCCAAGAGTGTGCCAGGACAGCTCGGCCACTTATAGACCTCCTATGATCAGATCACTTTTTGTGTCTCTTCACATGGTCTTCGTCTGATAATCATTTCGTTCATGTAATAGTATGTAAGTAGCTCGTTTAATACTAATATATCTTTTATTATTTGTAGACTTTCTAATTTTAGAATAAAATTTCGCCAAGTTATATTTTGAGATTTTAAGTTTGAGCTAGTTTATAAAAAAAAGAAGAAGAAGAAGAAGATGATGAGAATGAAGGCAAGTGTAGAGGAGAGGATGATACGGTAGAGAGACAGTGTTGGGATGTTCGCTTAACCAGCTCATCTTCATTTTACAAAATTTTCCTCGTTAGTTCTTTCACATGTGCTGTTTTCATTCCGGACATCTAATGCTTCCATGCTTTTCTGTATTGGGATAAACTTTTGATTTTTTTGCTCAACCGTTAACATCGCTGACCGGTTTTTAAGAAGGAGAAAGCACACTGACCACTGATAGATTCCGGATTTCCTGCCAAAAGTATCCTTATTGGTTTTGGTTCATCTCTCTTTCTCACTTCGTATTTCTCTCTTCTTCTCTCTCATTTTTCCTCTTTCTATCAATTTTTCTCTATCTATCTCTCTCTCTCTCTCTCTCTTCTTCTTTCTTGTGCTCATGGAGAAGAAGCACAGTCTCGAAACACATGTGTTTGATGCATTTTTTGAACTATTTTTTGAGACTCAATACGATACCTTGAGCATGGTACTCAGTTTACTCTCCCCCTCTCTATGATCTGAATTTCAATTATGCGATGTATGATGATTGCCCTCTTGTTGACCTTTTTAAAATTCCTTGCATGATCTAAAGAAAAGTAGTGCAAAACGTCCAGCAGATTGGAACTAGGGCTTTGCCTATCTGTTTCGTTTCCATTTTATCATTCGATCTCTTTGTACTTCCAAATAGTGATAAGTAAATCTCGGGGAGTGTTTCAAAAGCTCTCTGTCATCAACCTCATTTCATCTCATGTACGAGAAGAGAAGTGTTAGAAGAAGCACATGCAGCTATCCCCCCCCCTATGATACAGAGAGGGGATGAAAAGGAAATGGTTTTGAAGTTTCCCTTTTCATAACCAACGAAAGGAAACAAAAGAAAGCTGGATAAGTCATCGTAAGCTTTTGCTTCATTCCTTTTCTTTTCTATATAACTATCTCCCATTGTTTAATCATGCTGAATCGTGTAAAAAAGATGAAATAAAAACTTTTATCATCTTCATCTCCATCAGCCAACAGCAAAAACCGCTCTGCATATGCTTAATGTTTAAGAATATTATAAAAAGAAAGTTTTTTCCGTATCCATTAATCTCCAAATTAGATATTTCTAGAATTCAGCTCTTCAAGTATTCTTCCAGCTTAAACGATTTTCTTTACAAACGATCAAAACGAAACTTATGAAATTGGGGTCAGGTATCCATCCAGTCAGGCTCAGATGTGCCCCTCTTCTTCTTCTGCCTCCATTTTGCCTCTGCGCTTTGATCATGTCCCCATTAACCTGTGTGGCTTGTATAGCGATTCCATAGAATTTCCATAAACATCAACAGGAAATGATCAAAGACCCTTTTTGTTTCGCAAGAATATAAGGTAAAAGCTTCTTAATTAGATGTTTACGTGAAGAACGTGTCTCTTGTTGATGACAAATTCCGCGAGATCACACCAGGTGACATGTCTGAACGAGAGTTCTCTAGTTGGTCTCTCTCTCAATCTATGATTAAGCGCTATACCTGAGATCGGAATGCGCTTTCCCTTAATTAGTGTGATTAAGATTTATGTAAAACATGATAACTTCCCTTTTCAATTTCTTGTTTTCAAATCAGTTCGTAACGGTTAAACTCGATTACACAGGTATCTTACTCGGAAAATACCTTGCCCCCAACATTCTCTCCGCCCGATATCATCCCGTTCCTCTCTTACCATCCAGTCTTCTCTTTCTCTCTCTCTTCTTTCGTCCGTTTCTCGATTACTGATAACGAAGCAAAGCAATAACGATAAAAACAAAAATTTTTCGGAACATTAGTACTTGACAGCAAAAAAAGGAATTTCCCAACTGAAAAAAGACTATTTTGCCTTTATGTCTGTCAACCATATTTCATGGAAACTGTCAATGATAACGGTCAAACGCCCAGCATAACCTTTGATTTCGTTCATGAAATTGTTTGAAAACACACACATACATACATACACATACATCTGTTTCGCTGTTTCGTAATGCTTCTTTCCTTAACTATATACATATATGATTGACTGAGTAAGCAAATCTCTCCCCCCTCCCACTCTGTAATGCAGATGATCTCATCACCTCTTCATCGTTTTCACTTGTTCGAACAGTTTTTCTTTTCATTTTCGTTCTTCCATCACCACTCATCACCTTCATTGACATCATCTAACATTTAATTTGCAGCACGTGTCTGTTTCATCACTCTAAATCTGGATGCTTTTACCTTTTCTCCATCAACATCTCATCTCTCTGAATCTCATTTCATCTCTCTTCCTCTCTCTCTTTCTCTCTCTCTCTTATCGGCTTCACTCTAATGCGCTCTCTCATATGTCTCTTTTTGAAGGTGAGAGTTCGAGTTATCCCCGGATGTGTTTGATAAATACATATATCCTATCCTACAAATCAGAAAATATCGTAATTCACGTGACATCGAAAGGTAATGAACTCATAAGTCACATATCTTCGAGACAAAAGCATGTTTCATCGCATATCTTCGATTTCAAAGAACAATCGTTTGTAATTCCCGAAAATTCGGACAACAACACGAGATTTCTATTGAACACTTTAATTAACTATCACCCTATATATAGATGATCAGCTTCGTTCTTCTCTCATTTACCTTCACTTTTGTTCGCTTTCATTTTTTATTTCTGCGAAAGCCTGCTCTAGCTCATTTCTCCTGCTCCATGGCGCATTACCGTAACTGAAACAAGCTTGCAAGCTAAGACCCTGTTCGGATGCAGATGTAAGCGCCATCAGCTAAATCTTTTTTGGAAAGTTCTAATAGCTTTCACTTCTTTCGACAGCATGCCTACGTCAAAGATGAATCTGCAATTAAGGGGGAAATTAACAGACGGGAGGCATTTCTGTTAAGCATCTGGACAAGTGTTATAATCAGTCATTCATTTAGACCTTTTTAGCTCAAGTTTATTCGCTTATCATGTCTTTGCCCATTTCTCTTTCATTCAACTTTCCTGCTAAATCTCTTGCAATCACATACTGTATGAGATATCTTTTCCTTTTTTCATCTATCTTGTCGGCTTTCACTTCGATTTTTTCACTTTCACTAGTAAGAAGAGATGTAACGATCCAGAAGAGACAGATTCATTAAACACATCACCTTTCATTTGTCATTTCCCTTTTTTGGCATATAAATTAAGTTTTTATTATTGTTGTTATTGTTTTCTTTTTTGTTCGCGTACATATTTAAGTGCCGGCGTGCAAAAAGTGCATAACCGGGAATGACGAAGCTTCAAGAAGTTCGAAGAGGGGGGTTGTAGAAAGGAGAGTGAAAAAAGAGAGGATGAGAAGCTTGAAGTTTTTTTTCTGAAACACTTTTCATGCCATATCTCCTTGTTGTCTGATGTTGATGTTGCTCATATGTTTCTCACTCAACGGTTCAAACTTCGGTTCGAGACCATTTTCGGAGAAACTTTGTACTTGGCCTACAAGTGTAAAAAAAAGTTGTGATGATAAGATGTTTGTGGCATTGATAACATAAACTTGAAGAACATGGAAACAGGTTATTTACATAACCTTTTGTTAACTAGTTAAAGGCTCCTATGAATAGTTAGTTGTATAATATAGTTAAGATTTTCTTTCTTTTGTTCATTTTTTTAAACGGCATGGAGACAGAGAGAGAGAGCGAGAGAAAGGAAGATGCATTGAGTGCCGTACTTGAGCAAACAAAGGAAACATATCTTAGTTTTTTAATTTAAAAATTAAAATCTTAATTATTGGCCGAGTTGTTGATTGATGTACAGAGGTGACAAGCTTTGCTTTTTTTGGAAAAATCATGTTTTTTGAAATGGAACTGGTACATGGGTTTTGAGTAAGCAACAAGTTACTCCAACCAGCTTCTTCCATACATAGATATAAGCATTTGAAACATTTAAAATTGCTGTTTGGAAAGAAAAAAAAAAGATTTTTCTCCTAAAGGTTAATACTCAGTTTCCATGGTGTACCACATTCCATGACCTTTTTTGGGTCAAAATGTGTGTCTATTTCAATATCTTTATGTTCAATCTTCATCAATCGAGAGGTGTTCCATTTTTTTGTGGAAAAGTTTATTTGAATAATTACTCATCTCTTCATTATCTGCTTCAATTTTATTGTTTCTTTATTAGGATGTATGTCACGGGTGTCCGCAGAGCACGCCGAAAGTTGATAAACTTCATACTTTGACATAAACTTTGTCTGTCTACTCGTTCTTCCATCATATGCTCCCTGTTTGTATGTAGTTTGCTCATTCGCATATATACTCCTGTAGACATGCTATAGACATACAGACAGTCATCTTGCTTACCTCCTTTCTCAAACCGCAATCTATACACACAACACTCCAAATGATTTAGTTTTAAACATAAAACGAGAAATTCACGTTCATTTTTTAATCTTATTATCTATCTTAAAATATCACAAACTGAATACATCAATCCAGCCCCCTTAGTAGGCATTTTTACACATTTCAACGAGCTCAGGTTGTAATGGTCTTTTAAGCTTGGCGCCTGTCTTTTGCCATCGCCGACATGATCATCATCAACTTCTTCGTCAAAGCAGACTAGTCAATCCCCCAACCCGATCACCTCATCAAAACGTCTTTCATTCCATCAAAAACCTTCCTTTTTTTCATCGCATTTTTTAATCTGTAAGCTTATGAAAAGATTGTCAGAAGCGCTTTCCTCGTTGAAGGTAGAGATAGGAGAGAAGCCTGGACCATATTCCTACCGGTCCTGTACTTTTGAAATTTTCACCTTCGACCCACATTCAACACGTATTCCGTTTTTGATGATAATTCCCTCTTTTCTTCTCTCTCCCAGACACTTTCTCCTTTCTTTGTGGCTTCTCACAATATCACAACCTCTCATCATGATCAGCTGTACTGTCTTCGAATGTCATTGACGTAGTCGTCGTCGTGGTCTTTCTCGTACTCGTCATCATCTTGTTTCGCTTCTGTCGTTCTACAGTCGTCTGACTTTTTTACTCAACCATGCCAACCGTCAGAACGAAGACGAAACTGATACCGTCAGTACATACAAATTATTGCCATCAAACAGCGTCACCAGGAACGACACCAATCAGTCCAATAACTGTCTTCGACTGAGAATCAGAAGAAGCCTGTTTTGTCCCGATGAACGGGGACACTTCATCATCATCTTCTTCATAACTAATAACCTGATAACATATAGTTTAGATGAGAATTCTCCTCTCATGCATATAGAATGATCGTATACATTCGAAGCGTCCCTCTCCCCGTGCCCACCACTTCATGATGTAACCTTTGGGCTAGCTGATTCAGACATGTTTCAGTTTCTCGAGTCAGACCGAATAAAAGGAAGAGTAACTCTTGTTTTTCCTGAATCACCTCCATCAGGTCAACCCCGCCTTCTCATTCACTCAATTCTCTCCGTTACCCCTCTCTCTTTCTCTCTCTCTCTCTCCCTTTATCACTCTCTCTCTCTACATCTTTCTCTCCATTTCTTTCTATTATTGACTTCGCTTTTTCCGTGAAATCTCCTTTTCGTATCCTTGTCATCTTTTCCACCTTGATCTTCTCCTTGCGATTTCGGTTAAAAAGTGGGCGGGCATAAATGAAAAAGGAGTGAGAATATAAAACATTGAGAGAGAAAATATGAATAGATACTTAACATATACAGAGAGAGAGAGAGAATAAGATAGAAAGAAAAGATCTAATACTGACCTTGCTTAAATCTCTTTCATTCACTTTCCCTGGCTACCACCTCTTCGTATCAGACGCG